AACATATAAATTTTAATCTACATATTTAAGTTTAATTTTATTCCCTTTTTAAACTATTAAAGACCATTTTATGGCTTGTTCTGAAGCAATTACCTGTAAACTGCTTATTTTAAACTCTTTGTAATTTGTTTTATAGCCATATATGCAATAAGGGAAAAGACAGTATAGCGGGTATAATTATTCATTAATGTTTTACCTCCTGTCTTTAGTTCCATTTAATATTTTTGATGGCTGCCAAAGTTTATGGCTAAATGAGATTTTAAAACTTTGATTCATATCCGGCGAATTTTAATTTACTATTTTGGCCAAAAGAAATTTTGGCATAAAATTGATTGTTTTCCTAATTTTTTTACTTTTGGTTTAAAATCATTTCGAGTGTATCCCCTTAAATTATTTAATCGAATGTTTATTTCATAATTAAAAAAGGAAATTTCTTTATAGGTCGTTCTAGAGCCACACCATTTCAATACTCAAGCATAAATACAACTACGTAGGCATCTCTTCTACAAAGACTTATATAACTTTATGCATAATCATTCTAGAATAAATAAGAAAATGAGGATTTGTCATAATGAATTATTAATAAATGTGCTCTAAATGCAGATGAGACATTTCTGTAGATAACCAATTTCGTCCATATTACACTGGTTGTCAGTCCTTAGTCATAATATGAATGTCTCGTTAAACAGGTACAGATGCGAATTCAGCATGTATACGAGGTGTGTGTTCTAGCACGCCACTTGTCTGCACAGATAAACGCCATTTCGCTTCAACCATCGTATGGAAAGAATTGGTGGCGAGGCTCTAAATCTCAGGATCCAGATCAACAACCACGTGGGCAGAGTAATCCAGACGATCACAGACAGCAACCGCAAACATTAGTTGCTCGAGCTCCTTCTGTTGCTACATCTTCCTCCTCTGCCACTAGCTACTCTACTTGGTCTTCCCAGAACATTCGTCAGGAGAATGCCAGAAATTCTCGACAGACTACCTCCAAAACAGCAGGTTTGGGAGTTGGAGCGCTTCACGAACTGGCAGACAATATTTGTCAATTACTGAACTCACCAAGAGATTTGGGTAACCAAGTGCGCTTGGCAACCCAAAGGACGAGGACCAGTGATTTTGAAGCTGAGTGGACAGTTGCAGGGCTAGCACAAGAATGCGTTTTCCAGCCAGTACAGGCTGTACCCTACCTTGAAGGTTAGATCGCTTAATTTATTGAATTGAGGCTCAACCTATATAAAGCCATAGCGACTGAGTCGTTTATAAAAAAATATCACAGCGTTGAATCCTGGAGGAGATTCAACAATGTTTATCTTTATTTTTTATTAATTCTGCCTTTAAGACGCATATATGAGAAATATTGTACGATTTTATTCAAATATATTTATATCTGTGGGTTTATTCTTTGGCAGGTTTATAATTTATCCATGATCTTGCATACTCTTTACTGGGCATCATAGGAATTTAACTGGCCCTATTTATCTCCTTTAAATTTTTAGATATCTGGAGTTAGCAAACTGATGGTCATTTTTCATATATTAACTATATATTTTAATAGCTAGAAATTATTAGCTTAATAAAAATATTTAATATATAAAAAATTTTATTCGCTTGAAAAATGGCAACTACTCTATTACCTCATTATTATCATAGGTTTAACTGCTTTTCTTAAGGAACTGCATGAATCCTCAAATTCAAGGAAATGAGCATCCTCTAGTAAAGTAAATATTAACTTTGATTAGTAAATAAATACAGTCTTCAAAATCCACAATAGACTTTCACATTTGCTTATAAGAGGGAAATCTGGCTTTTTATAAATAATCGGACCTATTTTTCCCAGCCAATGGGAACACATCATAATAAGACACTCCCTTTATAACAGGGGAACTGACTGACTTATAAGAGCTCCATCATAAATCGGGGTAAGTCGCAGTCTGCAATTTAAGCCCTTACGGCAGACTTTTTCCGCTATGTTATACAATATATTATAGCATATCACCTAACACATATCAAGTATGATACAACTAATAGAGGTAGTTGTCAGAGGAGAACGGCTCTCATAAAATAATTTCTCTTCAGATAATCTATTTAAAATTTACCCGGAAAGTTTACGATGAAATACGCACAATGTGAAAAATTGGGGAGGTTCATAAGCTTTAGCTACCACAGTTTTAGCAGTGAATATCTCCGCATTTATTCATATTATTAGCTGTTTATGCTTATTCATTTACTGTGACTCTGCTATCCTTTGCACACGGTTATGTGCAAATTATATCGTTTGCATAATATAATCAAACGAACGAATTATAATCAAAAGCAATCATGAATTTAATTACTAGCAATGAACAAGCTTACCTTTGCACAACAAGTTTTAACAAAAAATATAGCCGCATTAACGCCATAAATTAGTCTAAAATTAAGCTTACTCATGGCTAAAATAAATAAAAATTGAAGCAAAGACGCAGTTT